AAAAATGGTTGCTCTTCTTCGGCGACACTCAGAAGAACATGAAAAAGGCCGAGCACAACTGCCACTTCTGTCTGCACTAAGTGACATCTCGTCCCCTCGCTTCTTCATGTCCTGCACAGGTCAAGAAAGGCACCCCTTGCGGATCTGCAATAGTTCGTTGACAAGCATTGGTGCAGTCTCTCCCAAAAATTCGAGGTGGGGCCTGCGTTAAATCAAGTGCTTCTGTTTGCCCTCCCGCCTCTTTCCGCTTTTTCTGCGCCTCTACTTCTTCATACAGGAGCTGCATGCTTTGCGCCTGACCGTACTCGTACTTCTTGAATTCCCCAGAAATCTGGGACTGCTTTAACCATGCAATAGGAGCAAGGACGCTACTAGGTGGAGGCCATCGCTAGTAGGTTGGAGGCCATTACTAGTAACAAGAAGCTACGCTACTAGTAACAAAAATGTTTAACAGTTTTTGCATTGGATTGACATCAGGGTTCGTGAAGGCAGTTTTTGCCCCACCCATTCGATGCAGAGAGAAGTTTCAAGGCTCTGGACCCCAGGTTAAGTATTGGCTAGCCCCCTCGTGCCCCTCACAAACCATTGAACTTGATTTCTTAATTTACTACAGTAATAATAGGTTTAGTAACTATAGAATCTATATAACATTACAGTATATCGTTAATATTCATTAATTATATGGCAACTACTTACTTGTTCAATTGATATTTTAAGTGTAATTCCTTCATGTCTTGCTTCTTCATGTCTCGGCTCTGCGCCTTCACCTCGGCACCCTCGAGCAAATCGTGCAGCCGCGCTTCCTTTGCACGTTCTTCCTGCAAAGCCATCTGCTCATCAAGGTTCTGCCGCATCTTCCGGCGTTTCTGCGAGAGCTCCTCCTCCAGGCAAAGGAATGATAGAATGCCAATGACAAACCACCACAGAACTTCAGACTTGCCCATGCGCTTGGCAAAATAGAAAAATTGACCCAAGCTTCATTACTTTATGATGGTGCTCCATTGGAACTCCTCTATTTCCACAAGCTCCCTTCAAGCATGCTTGCCTTCTCTTTGTTCTCCCGGACTTGCATCTTCAAAGTCTCTGCCGTGATGGTCTTTACCAAGTCATGGTGCTCATCTCTCCTTGCTTGCCTGTGAGCTTTCTTCGATGAGAGTGGGTGAGACTAGCACAAGTGCATCGCTACCGGTAACAAGTGCATTACTACAAGTAACAAGAAGCTACTTTAACAAGGGCATGACTGGCATTGTCAATTATGGCCAGCGGGATGAGCTCCGGGAAACCAGAAACTGGCAAACATTCGGACAATACTTACGTGCATCCCGTACCGCTCGCTCACTCATCCACTCACTCATTGTATCTTACCTTCCGGAGAACTCCATTTTCACATTTGGAGGCTTTCCTGCTTCTACGTCAGCTCGCCTCATGACCTTATTCTCCTCTATCTGCTTTGCAAGCCTCAGCTGCTGTTCCCTGATCCATCAGTCAGTCATTTGCTCCAAAAGCCCTCAATCCAGCTACCAAGGATAGTTTAAATGTTTCTTGGGCCATGCGAAAGGACATACATGCTTCCGATGTTGGATAAAGTGCCTGTGACGGCCGAAAGATTGCAACCGTGCTGCCCATCTCTGTACTTTTGAAGTGCCGCCCATTGCTGTTGCTCGCGCCTCATCTCCTGACATCCCAGCAACTGAAAGCTGCCTGTGGCAGCAGGAAACATGGCCGCCGTCAGACCATGGGCGAACTAGCTGTTGCAATCCAAGACTCTTCATCAACAAAAGCTCTTGGGTCCCACTCAGCCTCCGGTCTAGCAAAGGCTAAAGAATGACAAAGAAGTCGCCTGAAACGGTCAGGTGGGGCCTGCTTCAGAGGATGTGGTTCAGCACTGAGACCTGTGGTGGCGTTTTTCACATCATCTGGTAAGCAGGCACCTGCCATGGACAAGGCAAAACGAGATTTGGACCATTTGCTGTCTAGACAGCCAAGCCTGCCTAGACCCTAGACGTGTTGTGAGCAAGGGGGTTAAAACGCGCCTGCGCTAAGACCACTGCCAGGCTGGCCACCCAAATTCAGAGTCTTCTGCGTGCTCTTTGTGGAGCCTTGTATGCTAGGAGCACTGGCAGACTTCAGCGGTGTCCGTCCACGGGAGACAACCTGTCAAAAGCAAGGAAGCACGGTGGTCTCTTGTGCTTCACTCGTTTGTTTCTAGCAACGCAAGACCGCCTGCGACATCACAGGCACGCTCCCGCAGGGATGGCTTGAGCAATTCAGCTTCGCTTGGCACTTTAGTAATTAGGTAATATCCTCACTTGTCGGGCTTAAAACACACAATAATATCTTGAAATTAAGGTGTTTGTCACTCAGTATCATGGCACGCCTCATCAAATGCCAAGCTAGTCCTTTGGATGGTGCAGCCCAGCTCGAAAAACCCAAACATCGTGATGAATTTGAATTTACATGAATTTACAGTTAGAGTCAGTTGCAGCTACCTTGATCTCATTGATCCTTCTATTGTTGCAGGGGGGCATGCTATTGATGTTCTCACCAGGCTCGCAGAGTCTATTAGAATTGCATAGTTGGGTGTTTCCTTTGCTTCTGTCAACCATCTCTATCCATCGTTCGTCCGTGAGCCTTCGCCATTTGACAAGATGTTATTGTGTAATAGATTAATTAGGTACAATTATAAATTATGCATACACGGATGCATATGCGGCCTAGTATGACCTAGTATTCATGCTTTTCTTGCCCAACTGTTTTCATGGAACGGCAGTCACGGCTGGGTCTTAAGTCTTTGAGACAAGCCTTGAGGGAAGCAAACGGGTTCCCATCCATCTACAGTATATATAGTATATCAACAAGCACTCTACTTGGTCCGAAGGCCGCGATCTGATCGCCACGATCTAGGATATACCCAGGTGGCGCAAGGATTTTGGCCTTCGTAATTCCAAGCCACAATATTAGTTTCAAGGTGACTGTGAGGCCTGTCCAACAAAGATCTTTGCAAGGGAGAAATCCAAGACAGCGGCTAGCGACATGTTTTGAAACAAAATGACACCTTTTTGATACCTTTTGTGTAGTTAGATTACAAACATTGCGTCTTCGACCCAGTCCAAGTGTGACTGCGAGCTGCCCAAGTGGCAGGTAGGGCTTAGCTTCCCCCTATTCCGGCCACAACGGCACATCACTTCAACATAAATTGGAAAGGCTGAGGTCCTTTACCGCTTCAAGAGCCCTGTCGAAAGTTCGGCCTGAAAAAGTCAGATACTCAACTGGCTCGCCCAGAAAGTGCAAAACGACAAAAGACTCTCTCCGATCCTCTGAGGATCAGGCCATGGAGTGTTTTTTAACCACATGTTGCAGATGCCATTGCCATCGCGATTGCAATCGCGGGCCTAAGCTTCCAGGACTTCGCCGTCAGAGTCTCCCTGAATGCTATGGCAAGGCATGAAGCACATAGAATCAGTGGCAAGCCAGGATAAACCAGGCATAAGAGTCCGGCTTTAAAAAAATGCACATCTACGGAAGTGGAGCCAGAAGTGTCGCTCAATTATCAAGTTTCAATGATGAAATGGCTCACACAAATGGTAAAAATATATAATGTTCAATCTTTTTAGTGGTGACGTAGGGTGACGAATCATCGCACTGCCAACTGTCACTTGCAAGGTGCTTCCCAACTGCCAGGAAACGCCATTCCCCTCCCCATGGGCCGTGTGCGAAGGTGGAAGATCGCACCTCAAAAGACTTTGGCCTTGGCAAATTCAACAACAACATCCTGTTTTTTTTGTTGAGGGAGTAGGCCGTGGAGGTAGGTAGTAGCTTGGTAGCTAGTGGAAAAGGTAGCTGGTAGTACTGGTAGCTAACAAGTAGCTACTACTGACAGGACGCAGGATAGCTCACGCTTTATTTGGTTCCTGGGCTTTTAGGGAAACTTTGTCGTTCTCTTTAGATTCTTTGGTTGGATTGTTGTGGCGGAGAGGCAGAAAGCAAGAAGAACACATCCACACATCAAAGACGGACCGAGTGCAAACGGATGTTATGGCCAATTCCTGTAGTTTGGTGTAGTCAGTGGCAGTCTGTCCGCTAGCAAGCCAACGGCACAAAGAACTCATGCGGCATGTGCAAGGAGACAATGAAAGCAGCCTCTGAGATCGATGCACCCATGGAGCCGGACCCCCGCAATTGTTGCAACGCCTCACACCGAGTGCATGGTACAGGCTCTAGCAAAGCCGAAGCAGTCATAGACTCAGTCATAGCAGCTCTCTTGTTTCAAGAAGCGCTCCTGCTAGGACAAAAGTGTCCAAAAACTGAGCCTCTCTAACACCCCTCTTGTTTCTCGATGTGTCTTTTCTTCTTTCTGTTCAACTGTTTTGATTTTTCTTTATGTGGTTGGTTTTTCTCATTTGTGTCTTTCTTCCTCGTCCTCTTTCTCCTTTTTCTAGATTCCTAGACTTCCAGGCAAGATGTTGATACAATGGGGGTAAGCGGGTAAGCCAATTCAAGGCGCAAACTGCCGCTCAGGCTTGTTGTCCTCACCGCAGCTTGCACCTTGATGAAGCTGACAGCTGCAAAACGAACATGTAGCAGCACATGACGCGGAGGAAGTCTACAGTAGCCAAAAAAGACTGCACCGTTACCAGAATCGGCTGGACAACCGTTTGGACCAACCTGTGGTCGGACCTTCACTGACAGCCTGACAGCTTGGGTTGTGATTTCGGGCTGCTAGGGCTCCCACACACCCATTTTCCCGTAGGCTGTGAAGTGATGCTTTCCTTTGAAGCAAGCCTTTCCAGCCTTCTCCTCAACACAGCTGCCTGAATGTACTCCTCCAAGGACACAAAAAGAACACATGTCTAAAAGTTATATATATAGATGAAAAGCATATTCATAGAACCCAGTGCTGCAGGCAGCCACCCTTTTCCAGCAGGCTTCCGCAAACAGCATTTTCGCAGGTCACAATCCAGCCTAGAGCCGTGGTTTCGGGTGGGCTCCCAATCACGCAACTAGGCGGCGGGCCTTCTTTGGGCCTCACAACGGTTCTCCAGTGGCTTGACATGGACCTATATGAGAAAACAAACTCCGAGGCCTGGTCAGCCTTCAATGTTCGGTTCTCTTCTTTGGCGGCGATGTACTTGGCCTTGCCGATGCGGACTTCCTACTTCATGGTTCAACCAAAAATATACTATCCAGCATGGTGGTTCCCAAAACCCTAGCGGTCAAATGTTTGCCTTGGAGCTGCGGATCTGCGTAATTAAGCAATATGAGTGCCGATGAATTTGAATAGCTCAACGTTTCAGTCAATAGAAATGGCATGAAATGACACCACTTTGACAGAGATTGTGTGTTGAGCCACAACAATTGAAGACGAAAGGCCATCAGTTGTGTGGATCTTAAGGATGTGTGCCACAGCATCTGTCCGACATAGTCACCTCACAGCTGCACACAGCGAAATACAGTAGCAACTGGACGATACTGTTAAAGCGGCTCACATGTCAAATGCGTTTCCGCACCAATGCACGTGCCCATGCCATGTCTGCCTCCGTCTATTTATATAATGCAACAGCCCCTGAAATCAACCTCAGGAACAATGTACTCAAACATGTCGAAATTATATGACACTATTCGATATTGATGCGACAACTCAAGTAATCAAGCAGCATTCGCTCTTCAAACGTTGGTGAAACTTGGTCTTCTTCACAGGTACACGTCCAATCCTCAATCTTGCCTCGACTCTACCCCCCTTCCACGCTTTTCGCTGATGTCACGATGCCTGTGGCCAGTGAATCCTTCAAATCCTTCCTGTGGCTCGATGTCGTACATCTCCGCTGCTCCGGCATAATGTTTCCCGGTTGGCAACACTTCCAAATGGCAATGAAGTGTCAATTTCCACAGTCCTACCACCCGATCCGCATGCAAGTAGACTCACCTCTCCCCGCATCAGCGAGGTTGCAAGATTGCCGTTTGTGCAACAGGTTCCATGTTTTGCACTTCCATGTACGAATCCAGCCTTTGGTCACCTTAACGTTGACCTCCAGTTGCCCTTGCTTTCCTTTGATCCCTGCTGTTCGAAAGTTTCTACTCCGTAACCATGAGTTTGATCCTCTCTTTCTGCACTTCTCTACCTCATCTCGAATCAATTTTACTTTATGTATCTCTCCCTCTCTCTCTGTCCATAGAACACTGTTTAAGCATACGGGGCCCGGCCAAACACTTCAAATTCACGGTGGGAACAGGTACGTATTTCATACTAGCTCTGGGGCCGATTTCTTGGCCAGGCCACTATATATTTATATAACATTGAAAACGTGCTAAAAATGATAAAGCCAGGCACGTGTTCCATCGCCGTCATCGTCATCATCATCATCATCATCATCATCTACTTATTCATGCTTCTTCTTATTACTATTCTTCTTATTTCTCTTTTTTTTCTTCTTCTTCTTATTATGCTTGTTCTTGTTCTTCATCATCGCTTGATGATGGTGATGGTGATGGTCATGACAATGATGATAGCAAGCATGATGGAGGAGTGATGATGATAATAATGGTGATGATGGTGATGGTGAGGAGATGATGGATATGATGGTGATGATGATGATGTTGTTGTTGTTGTTGATAATGGTGATGAGGGTGATGGCGACCAGAACAAGGATAGTAATGACGATGGCGATATTTGTACCATCGTCACCTTCATCTTCAGCACCACACAATCACAATCCTGGTGTGGCCTGTACCGTGCTCGTGCGCCCCTGTGCGCATGAACTTGTCAGCACCATCAATATCTTCATTACCCATTCTGGCTTCCATCATTTCACCACCATCATTGTCACCATTAGCGTCAACATCATCACAATCAATCACCATCAAACTATGATTGGCGTAACGAAAGCCATAGAAGTTCATAGAAGCGCCAGCTTGCTTGCTCAATAGCGTGTACAAGAACCCTTGCAACAATAACTGTGTGCTCTCGTATGCTTTCTCGAAAGTCATTATTGGAGTTGAGAACCGGATTGATCATCACCAACGTCATCACAAGGATCATCATCAGCAGCAACATCGCAAAGGTTAGCATTAACATCATCATCGCAACAAAATTGTGTATCGTATCATCACCGTCGTCATGTCATGACCGTCAACATCACCATGAGCATCATCATCAACATCATCATCATCGTCATCATCATAAACTTCATCATCATCGTTTTCATATTCATCTTCATCTTCATCTTCATCATCATCATCATCAACGTCGGAATCAGAATCATCAACATCATGCGTCCGTGCGTCCGTGTGTTCGGCCGATTGTTGCTTCAAGGTTTTGGGGGGGTCAGGGTGGTTAAAGTGTTGGCCGAAAACACTTCTGAGGAACACACTGAATGCGCCAAGTTGCGCTCTCGATCTTGGATGAAAGTCCTCCAGCGCTCTCTCAAGAAGCCCCTGAGGCTGCAGGAAGCTTCCATTCTTTGAGTAACTAAGTCTGTCAAAATGGTTTGCTCCAGCATCTTGGGCCTTTCAGGAAAACTGGTTCCACATCAAACAATGCAGGTTCGAAGTCGGCCTTTCAACTCAAGTTGAACCCACTAGCCCTTGCCTGAGACTCTTTTCCACTTTGGCCCTTGGCTGTGGTTTGCAGACTGGGCCATTCCATTGTTTCTGTCGGACAAGGCGCGCCAACCAGCAATGCCGCGTTTACCCTGTGTACCCTGAATACTCCAATCAAGGCTCTCGTCAAAATGCTCTGCAATGAACCCTGATGCCACTTTTTGCAACACCTGCGGCTGTGCTCAACGTGGATTTTTTTTAATGACTACCTCCGCTTCTTGCTCTCAGACAGCAAATTACATGTATATATATATATACATGCGTTCGTCTCAGCCTCCCATCGATGTCGATCTCGCAGCGCTAGAACTATCACATCAGCAAATGCTTGAGCATCCTGCAACTAAAGCTGCGACGTCTGATTGACAAAACACATCTCTGGAGTCACTCAGCTGCCTGGCACGTTGACACACGTAACACACTCTGACATTGGTTTTCAGTTATGCAATTCCCAGGCGGAAGGAAGGTGAGAGAACCGCATGGCGAAAGGTCCAAGAAATTGTAGGTGTTTGAACAAAAGTTGTTTGAAGCCAAGGTTTTGGGGTTGGTAGCATGAAGAACCATGGAATCAAACAAAGCAAATTAGACAGCGTGGTCAAAAGTGCAGGTACGTCGAAAGAGCGTCCTCTTTCGATATCCTAGTCTGAACCTGGAGCTTCGTTGGCTCACGCCAGTAACAGACCCGTGAGCCCCCTGCTGAAGAAACTCTTAGATACAGAGTGTGGCACACACACTCAGCCGCTTTGCGGCGCTCTTGCATAAAAACCTAAATGACACCTAAAAAGCCTTAGAAAAGAAAGAAAGAAAACAGAAAGAGCAGCGCCAAAAGGGCAAGAGAGAAAGATAGGTGTAGAAAAAGGTGAATACTTAGCCCGTGACTGGGGCAGGGAAACGAACCTCAAGAACCACCTAAAAAGCCTGAAAGAAAGCTCAACAAACGACGAAAAACGCAAGAAGGAAAGCGGGGGGCAGGGAGAGGGTGTATGTCCATGTGTGTGTACATGTGTGTGTGTGTGTCTGAACACTTAGCACTCTAGAGTTACTGATTACTTAGCGGAAACGAATTAGGTGCAATAGTTTGGGAGCGGGACTTTAGTCTTAAACCGCCCGGGTAGAGTAGACTAGAACAGGGACAATGGAGGGAAAGGCACCGACACACAAGTGGGTCGAGTACCATTTCCCTCTGTTACCCTAATTAGGGAGGGGGGGGTTTGGGTGTGTGGGTAGAGAACTCGTTTGGGTTTATTCTCCTTGAGCTCGGCGGCCCGGCGGCTTGGCATTCCATGAAGCGCGGCGGTGTAGTGGCAGTTAATTCAATAGTGAAACTAAGTCGGTTAGGAGAATCCAACGAACGGTGGAAACGAAAGAAGCTGTTAGTGAAAGTCCGGCATGAATTCAGCGCCCCAGTGACGGGGATCACACCCAGCACCCAAGTGGGACGACTGAGCGGCTCACACTCTGACATTGGTTTTTGGAAGGAAGGTGAGAGAACCGCATGGCGAAAGGTCCAAGAAGTTGTAGGTGCTTGAACAAAAGTTGTTTCTCGTGTCTGCAGAACTCAGCGGTGGCGAAACGAGCGGCGCACTGCAGCTGCAGAAACCAAGGTTTTGGCGTTGGTAGCATGAAGAACCATGGAATCAAACAAGCAAATTAGACAGCGTGGTCAAAAGTGCAGGTACGTCGAAAGAGCGTCCTCTTTCGATATCCTAGTCTGAACCTGGAGCTTCGTTGGCTCACGCCAGGAACAGACCCGTGAGCCCCCTGCTGAAGAAACTCTTAGATACAGAGTGTGACACACACACACACGGTACGTACATATTTACATAGATACATAGTTCTCGTGCAGCAAACAACCGAAACAACCCCATGGGTGCAGCTGCTGCAATGCATCAGTCCTCCCCACCATTCTGCACAACATAGCCAGGAAACTCTCTCTCTGGAGCTATGCCCTCTATTCCCACTGGAGTGGTGACCACGACAAGGCCATGCAGCATTGCCTCAAGAACCTCAAGAAAACAGCACTGCTGACAATCTTAATTACAGTAACTGGTTTGGAGTTCCCAGCTGCACACAAATGGAGGCGTACGCAATAACATGCAATATCTCAATGCAATTACAGCAATGTTTCTTGGCGGTGGTAAAATTATGAGACCTCACAAACCTCATGGTCAAGGAAAATGATGAAAAACGACTTGCCAGAACCTGTGGAGCATTCCGCACGTACTTGAATGGTGTTGAATACATGTGGTTGCGTCTGTTTCCTGAGTTCTGCTTTTGCATGCAATGCACGTCCACATCCCTTACCAACATTCACGTTGATCCATGTTTATTATTTTGCCCACTGCATTTCTACATTCTGAGGACTAGGACTAGGAGTGAGGTGGCCTGCCTGCATTCCGAAAACGATTTTGGAAGCTACATGTGTCAGCTAAGAGGCTTTGCCCTTTACACCAGCACCAAAGCGCAAAGGGGCAACAAGCAGCTTGTGAGACTTCATTGCAGATTCCACAGACCGGCAGTAGCCTCTCACCTCATTGCTCAATGATGCAGTTTTCATCAGTTTTCCACTGCACACGGCACACCGCTCTTGTGTCTTTTGTGCTGCGAGATTGTCAAGCTTCTTACCGTTCTTACTATGGTCTCGAACTAGGTTCCGGTTCTGTAGTCTTGCCGTTTCCTAACACATCGTTGATGGCACTGTCGCTTCACATCATAAGCCGGGCTGGCCAATTCCTGTGCCACAGCTGCAGCAACAAAATACTACAAATCATTTACACAAAGAAACTCCCACAAAATGCCTTGATCAAAGGAGCTCGGGCGCCACATGCGGGATCATCTAATGCGGCATCTTCTGGGGTCTGGTTGGCGCCATAAACGTTAAGAACTGCATCCGGCACCTCCTGCCGCACCAAAGGCCACACCTCTTTCACCAACCATCGTGCACAGTCTCTGTTCGGTCGATGCCGCCAATTCCTCCGAAGAAGCAAGTGCATGATGCACGATATATTTCCCCCTCAAAACCGTGCAATTAGATCCTGAACTGGCTTGCAATTGGGGGATGGGGTCTGGGGTCTGCTATGAAAAACCGTCTCGGTGCCAAGGATCCCAATGAACAACGCACCGTCACGCCTGCTAAAGCTAGGTCTTTCATCGGAGATGTTGGAAAAGCCGAAGGGTGCAGCACAAACCTTGGCAAGGCCGACGGACAGTAGTCGCGGCATTGTCCTGGATGTCCTATCAATCAGCCTATATAGAGACAACTTGCAGTTGGAAGACATGCCAGGTACAGGTCAGGCCCTGAGGAAGCAGTTTCTAGAAAAATCTGGGTTGCTTGATCTTGCATGCAAGCTCCTTGATTCAAGGTACCAAGCAGCCTTCCAGCTTGGGATCCCATATCTTTCCACCAAAAGCGTCCGCTCTTCTTCCGAAATTGCCAGCGTGGCATCACAGCGGTGGATTGAAGCCAGTTCCCGTTGTAGGTCCTCGTCATCTGCAGGTGGCCGAAAGGATGCCTGGAAGGAGCTCTGGAAGTCTCTCAGTGTCGGTTCGAAACATCTGATAAAATGTCATGAAAATTGTTCCTAGTAGCGTCCTTGCTCCTAGTAGCGATGCCAGGAGCCCCTAGTAAGTAGGGTTTCTCAATGTCTTCATCTTGCAAAGTCTCCAATCGAAGAGTTGACCCGAACTATGAACCTTGCTCCAGCTCACCCCTTCTTGCAGTCCAAGGTGCAACTGCTGTAGCGCCAACCCCTGCAGCGATCAGCCGTTCCCTGCCTGCACGTGTTGAATGCACGAGCCTAGCGATCTTTTGGAGAACAAAAAGAACCACTTCCGCTGGCCTAGTCGCAGTGCATGAAAGTCCTGCATATCGAGAACTCGCATTGCATCGGGCAAAGCTTGGTGCACATAGTGGCCAAACCTCCAAACATTCAAGTGGCTGACGGTGAGCGGAGTGCCTGTGCCCTAAGCACTCAGCAACCAATGATATACTATACCAGAACATATTGTCCCCGCTAGTAGCCTTTCCTCTGTGTTGAAGCCATCAAAAAGCACAAGCTCTGGATGTCCGGCCGCCTCCTCATGTGACCGGGATCAAAGGTAGTTTATTCAGTTTCAAGTTTCAACCCTTTCCGATATACAATTCCACAGCAAATTGGAATGCGGCACGGAAAGAGAAGACCTGACTATGTTTTGTCACGTGCATGATCACATTTGACTAAGTGGGACATGAGGTATAAAAGAGGCAAGCTGCCAGAGCTGACATCACCGATGCTTCGTCATTTAACTTGATGCCTAAGTTGATGAGACAAATGTTTCTGCTACTACGTCACTCAAGCTCGCTCTCTCTCTCTCTCTCGCTCCCTTTAGCTCCACTACTCCAAGAAAAAACAACGGCTACGGGCATCTACAGTACGGGCTATTGCTTCTTGCCAAAGCACGAATGCAGTTCACACCATTTGCTGCAGACCTTGCTGGTTTGATCCGCCAAACTGGCGACGAGCATTGTTATACATATACATATATATATACTATGGCGGACCAGCAGTTAGAAGTCGTTTTTTCCTATATGCAGTTAGAATATGGCTTTACACGGAGCAGGGGGAAGATCGGAGACCACATGCAGTTAGAATATAAAGACACAACGAACCGAGTACTGTAAACAATCTTGTCCAAAAAAAAAGCGCGGTGATTTTGCGGCAAGTATATAAATAGAATGCTAACAGTTAGAATATGTTCCCCTGCAGTCTGGTTGGAGGCCATCGCCCTTAGGTTGAAGACCATTGCTCTCAGGGTGGAGGCCACTGCCATTGCTATTAGGTTGGAGGCCATCGCTCTTAAGTTGGAGGCCATCCCTATTAGGTTTGAGGCTTCCGCTATTAGGTTTGGAGTCCTAGCTTTGTCTCTGCAAGGTATCCTGGTTTTGCACTGACAGTTAGAATATGTTCCCCTGCTTTCTGGTTGGAGGCCACCGCTCTTAAGTTGGAGACCATCGCTCTTAAGTTGGAGGCCATCGCTCTTAGGTTGGAGGCCATTGCTCTTAGGCTGGAGGCCAATGCCATTGCTATTAGGTTGGAGGCCATCGCTCTTAAGTTGGAGGCCACCGTTCTTAGGTTGGAGGCCATGGCTCTTAGGGTGGAGGCCGTTGCCATTGCTATTAGGTTGGAGGCCATCGGCCATCGCTCTTAAGTTGGAGGCCATTGCTGTTAGGTTGGTTGGAGGCCATCGGTCTTAAGCTGGGCCATCGGTCTAAAGCTGGAGGCCATCGCTCGCCATCGCTATTAGGGTGGATGCCATTGCCATTGCTATTTCTTAAGTTGGAGGCCATTGCTGTTGGGTTGGAGGCCATCACTATTAGGCTTGGAGGCCTAGCTTTGTCTCTGCAAGGTATCCTGGTTTTGGACTGGCAGTTAGAATATGCCCCCCTGCTTTCTGAAAGGCCCATATTCTATCTGCGAGGGTCATCCCCAGGGTCATCGATTTTGGAAGGTTTGGGGCATCAATTTAGAACGGAAGTGTTTGAATTTCATATTCTAACTGCCGTCCTCCACTGTATATATATATATGTGTGTGTGTGTGTGTAACTTACCAATGTGACGCATGAATGAATTTCCGGTCACACGCTTAGTGATAAACACTTGCACAATGAGCAAAACGCCTGTGCCAAGCTGTCCAAGCTGTCGGCAGTTTTCCCTTTGAATTCCCAGGCCGAGCCGGAGATGCAAAGGTCACGGCACTTGATGCGGAGGCATCCTGGCCAGAATGCAGTAGTTGCATCATTCGCTGTGGGTAACATCATTGGCTTCCCGCTTCGCAAAATAGTTCAATGAAGAAACGTTAGCCGCCAGCAAGAGTATACCCAGTGAATAGGGTACTGGACCACGCATATTATAGAAAAACATCTCTACGGAGCGGGATGTGAAGTGGGAAACCACGTAAACCCATAAACTCTATAGAACGCAATGTATGTTCAGGCTCCGGCCTTGTTCATCCAGGGTACCCTCACTATAGGATGGGTGCATGAATAGCAAATAGCAATTTTGTAGATGTCAATGGTCCGCATTCTATAGAGATCCATTCACCGGGTTTGCCAATGTTCGCTATATAGTGGTCCTCACCAATCACAAAGCCTTTCTGGACGTGTCAAAAAGGGAAAATGCTGATGCCTTGCCTCAGCGCACAAGCGCCGCAACATCTGCAACCGTCCAGCTGTCACACGACCAGCTGCGGAGACGTCAGGATCAGGCCAGTTGCTGCTGATGACCTCTGAAGACGAAAAGCGCAGCTGCAAACCATTCTTTGGTGATGGTATATGATTGAGACCTGTCTCACCATTCTGAACAATTCCAGTCAGTGGTACCAGTCCAAATTCTGCACCGCCTAAGCATATTTGGCCAGGGATCCAAGGCATGTTGTTGTGTCTTGCCAGCGCGGATATCGGCACCTTTGCCTGTCGTCAATAACACTGGCCGGAATGAAAGCATTATATGAGCAATCACATCAGTGCCCGGCCTCCCTTTTCCAATGCAGCATCTTCGGCTTGTGCACATTTGGACTCAGTTGATGGTATTCCACGAACACGTCGGAAGATTATCGCCACGCGCCGCTCTGACAGAAAGTTCTCCTGAGGCCAAGCGAAGCCCGGCAAGGATTTCTGGCGGTAGAAGAGAACTAGTTAAAAACCCGGACACCAATTCACTTGAAACATGTGAAGAGAGAATCAAGAGAAATGAAGTCCTGGAGAACGTCCGACGGTCAGTTCCAAATGTTCAAACGTTAGTTAGGGGAAAAGCTGCAAATGAACATGTCAAACAAACAAAGGCCGAGTAAAAGCCATACAGTAAATCAAATCGATCATCAAGTGTTCCCAACTGATGTGCATGAAATATGTGATTATTATGTTCAAGCCTACGGGTGTAAAACCGAACGTGTGACTACTGCGATTTTTGAAGTTGATGCTACGTGAAAGGTGGGGGGGTCGGGGTGGGGTGGGATGGGGCATATTGACGTTCGTTTGCGCTTGCTATCTGAAGTTGATGCTACGTCGAAAGGTGGGGGGGTGGGATGAGAACATTGTCATCGTTTTCACGACAAGTAATCTTCGGTTTCATAGCATTGTCATCGGTTTCACCACATTATCTTCGGTTTCATAGCATTGTCATCGGTTTCATAGCATTGTCATCGATTAGTCGTGTGATT